ACCAGAAAGACTGCAACATCATCAAAACAAAGTCCTGAGCTGCTCCACAGCTGAACAAATTCAAAGCAATGGAAAATAGGATGCACTAATACACAGACTAGCAAGTTTGGGGAAAACAAGTCAGACCAGTCTCCCATCCCTGTCTGCTCCAAATTTCTATCTCAAGACACCACCACACCTTCACTGCAGCTGCTGTCTCAATATTGGAGCACGCAAACTGACTGGAAGTTGATTTAGTATGCACAATGGTAACATTATCAATCTGAGCATAAGTGGAAGTTTTTACATGGAAATGGTCTGGTCAGTAAAAATAATGAATTTTGTCAACCACAGCATAAAGACAATATTTATTAAATAGTTGTATCTTGAGTGTCTTTTCTTCTTGTGGCCTTTTTCATTTTGATGAATATTGTCCTGCTATCCTATTAGTGTGTCAGACTCTCTTATGAGCTATTGTTTATAGCTTCCCCATGTGTCTGTACAAAACAGACAACAGGCAAAATCTCTGCCCTTAGGTTAGACTGATTCTGGTCTGGATATGGTTAATCTAAGGCAGTATTTCCCTCTTTTTCTTCATTCCCATTTGGAATTGATTAATCTCTTTACTTTAAGGCAACCTTCACTGAAACATCACATTGAAAAAAGTTGCAGGTCACTATTCCCCGGGGATGTCTACAGGGGACTCTGTAAGCAATGACCTGACCTGCCAAACTAAAAGACTAACACACACACACCTTTGAAGTTAATGAGAGTGCTAGCAGCTCTGACAAAGAAGAAATCCACTGGACCCAGTTTTAGCCATAGGGTTGTAGCTACATAAACACAAACAACTTTGACAGTGATGTAGCCTCCAGGCATAGGAATGCACCTGAACGCAAGCATAGAGATACAATGGCTGGCACACGTAAACCTTTTCGCAACAGCTCGAAAAAAACATTAGTCATCAGTAGACCCCAATTTTTAGGAGTCTATTTCTGCTTGGAGTTAAAGTATAGATGATTTCAGGTGTTTTCCCGGTTTAAAGAGAGTCAAGCTCACAGCCACATTTCATCAACATTCCTCTGTAGTACTGGAAAAACCCGAATGAATGTCAAACATCACTATAAAGCTGGTTCTGTTTGACGTCGGGTTTCCTGGACCAGTTTGGGAACCACTGAGCAACTTCACAAACCAACTGACCCGAAGACTCATGCAACGCGACCCCAACAAAAATGTGCCAAAACGTGCATTGACGTGACAGTTTTGAGGATGTGGTGGCACAAACTTACCGACCAGTGTTGTCATTTCCAGTTAGCATCCATCAAAACTCCACAAACTGTCTCGTACAACACATGTCCTGCTAAGTTTTCGTTGACTGACTCGCTCCACAGCTCTCGCGGAGAGACAGTTGATGCAGCTCGTGCTGCGGTGGGAAACCGCTCTCTCTTTTCGCTGACACCTTCAGGTGCTCCTCGGAATACTGTACTCCACCACTCAGCACTTTGGTTAAACCATGGGCCAGTTTTTTTCTAAATTTGTTCATTGAGGGGGGTCAACTTTTTACAGCTGTGAGGAACTCACAGACCATTCGTTCATTTAAGTATTTACAAAACAGTCTTTTGTTTATGATGTCATTTTTATGTTAACACTATAGGCTTTTCTATATATATTAATTCTACATAATAGATGAACATTGTTTTTTCTAATTAAAATATACTGCAGATGTATAGATGGAATAGTCCCAGGTATGGTAAAACATGCCAGTCAAGACTTTGCAAAAAAGGGCTATTAACATCTAGGCCATTGTGCAGAAAAACCAATGCAATCCTGAAATATTGTGCTCTTTACAGGGACCCTGTGTAGTTTTAAGACCTTCATTATTTTTAGTTCATGTGGTGCTCACATGGTGCATATTTTCGAATTAAGTTGTTTAATTAAATTACCATATATCAACTTGCATACAGAAAACTCTAGGACCAGGTAGTATTGTTCCAGCATGGGTGGTTTCTGTGTATATAATGAAGTTTCTAAATAGGTATAGTCTACTGTGTGTATAGTAAGCCTACTGGATGGGAATTTGGAGGCGAGGAAGATATACAGTCCACTAAACGTATATCATGCCACTTGTAGGCATAATATTGTTGTTTGGAAGTCATAGTTGCATCAGTGTTTTGTTTAATGTGGTAAATCCAAAATGTATCTATTTAATTGTGCTCTTGTTGTGACTGATTTACATAACGTGTTAAGCCTAAAATCAATATATCCGACAGCACTTAAAGGCTGCATCGGCTTCTCTCAGTAGCCAACTGAGCTGTGGACAGGAGGACAATAACTGCGGCTCTGGGCTACTTTGTGGTACCGTGTGTGTGTGTGTGTGTGTGTGTGTCACTACATTGGAATGTCTGGCAACGATTTCTCACCATAGCCAGTCGTCAACTTTATGAAGCTTCCCTGTACATTATTTCCTCGAAGCCAAAGTGATTTATGTTTAACAGTAACGCACTGCAGACAACTCAGTATAAATGAGTGCAATGTTATACATACCTATTACGTTTGGTTTAACTCAAGAGTCCAATCACAGATCACAGAGATAATTGTATGACCGATACATGCCTTGGACCCATGATTTGCCAATCTTTGAGCCAGATGTGCCTCACCTCAGCCGAATGAGCTAGATTTCTGCTTGGGACACGTTCAGTCTGCAGAGTGAAAGTCTAGCTCATTCATTTGGTTGGCAAGGGGAAGTTTCGTGCGCAGCAAATGCACGCATGAAAGTAGAAGAGAAAGTAGGTTACAATTGTGCAGTTGTTCTACCCTCTGAACGCACCGCGCGCCCCGCCCCCGATACAGCGAACAGCACGTGCTTGAGAGAGATGCCCTTTTCCACTTCACAGCTTATAACAGCATTATTTCAACTTGGAAAGTGAGGGATTATTTTCCAATTCCCTCTCGCTCCACCGATGGGAAGTCTTATGCCATCCATCAGGAATGTGCAACTCTTCCATTCTTCCAGCTCTCCTCCACCCAGGAGCAAGCAAACCTTTGGGAATCCCCAGCTCGCTGATAAAAGACAGGGCGGGTGGCCCTTCCAGTTTATCTAACATTTTTATTTGCTTGCAAAATCAAACTCAAATATGGTTTAGAACTTTGTCACATTGTTACGATTGTGACATTTGATGTGATGATAGCGACCTGTTTCTAACATGTTGACACTTCTTGCTGAAATTAAACATCTGATGTAACTTTATACACTGCAAACTCACATTCAAACATGTACCACAAGTTTGAAATGCAGCCAATAAGGGCAAGAGAGCTCCATTAGTAAGCAATGTGTAACTGTGTCTCTGTAATAAAGAGGAAAAAGAGGAAGCAGATAAGGAGGAGAGAGACTTTGACTCTAGATTAAGAAGTTATCCTAACACACAGTTTTGAAGCTTGGTGGTAGTATATTTATTCTGTGTTCAGAAGCCTATGTGCACACAGAGAGAGACTATTCAAAAACACAGAATATAACTGTGAATATAAAGCTCCCACCTGACCAGCCCACCCAAGATGATAGCGTGCTATGTGCCCAGAATAAATGGAATAAAGCAGAAGGAAATGCAAATTAAATAATATTGCACATGGATTTGTTATTAATTTGCCGATAATATTAAAGGTGTTATCAGCAAACATTTGCTGCATTCCTCCCTGTGGGTTGAACCTCTGAAGCTACAGTTGCACTTCAAGTTACACTTCATTCAGTGACGGCAGATCATGTGGCTTTTACTTCCATGGAAAAATAAAGATTTACTCCTATGATAGAAAAATAAGTAACACTATCTTGTTTATTCATCTGATGACACTGAAACATTTAACTACATTTACTTGCGATACCACATCTAAAAACTGCCATGGCAAGGCAAGTTTATTTCTTTCAACGACAAGGCCATTCACTGTGTTTTACTGAGGAAATGTAAGGCTTTATGAAAAGAAACACAAGGCAATACATAACTACAGTACACCGCCGCAACTATTAAGAGTTTCAGGTGAAGTTACATTGTCCTAATTTTTGTGGATCCTGCCCTCTGCTGTCAGAAAAAGCTGATTACATGTGCAGGGAGAAATTACAATTATACTACTGTTACTTAATGACCACTGATGTTATAACTATAGTAATGATAATAGTACCTAATGATAATAGAAGTATCATTAAAAATGATAATGCCTATAATACATAGAATTAACAATGTAAATCACTCGAGTTTGTTATTTGTATATGATGACACTCGTCAATATGAGTATACTGTTGTATATTTGATTGCGCTTTAAAGAAATTGATGATTGCATTGCATGTTGCAACTGAAACAAAAGTATTGCTAAAACTGTAGGTGGCAGCTTCAAAAACTCTTTTTACACAAGACATCTTTAGCCCCAAGTTATTCTACCCTGCAACAAAGAGCTACTCTGTTCTAGTTCCGCTTTTTTACACTTCACTTAGCTCAGTGCTCCACTGAAAAATTACCCTGCAACCATGCCTTGATCCAGAGGAAGGTTTGTATTATGTATATATTCAGCCCTCTATGCAAGGTACAGGCCTTTATTTTGCAAGATATGGGTGACACAAGGCGAACACAGCCATTTGGCATGAATAGACAAGGCCTCACAACTGTGCGTTGTTTACAAATAAAAGGAAAATAAACAAAGGCATAGTAGAAAGTTGTGTAGTGCTCGCAGAGACAAATAACCTGCACGCGTATACACACACACACACACTTGCACAAACACACAAAGACTACAATCCACTCAGACAGGTATTATTCTTAGCCCTCCTGTCAACAGCTGCCTGACTCAGTGGTTTGTAAAAAAAGGTAGCCTAGTTTGTACCATTGTCATCTATTGAGTCATCAGCGGAGCTCGGGTAACGCCATAGGCTCTGGGACAATGATGTAAGAACAGACAACCCCTCTACACAGTTTGGGTCGGTTCCACAAGTTTCAGTCATGTTAGAAATATATAATGATGACCACAGACAACAAGAGTTATAAATTCATATAGAATTTATTCTTGAATAATAAGAAACTAAATATTAACCATCACTATGCAGAAATATATACATCTTATAGAATATGTCGATGTAATACATTACAGAAATCTTAAAAATACTATTAAAGCATAGTTTAAAAATCCTAAAAACATCTTTAGTAGGTTTGTAAGGCTTATAGGTCCTGAAACAAATGTTTACCTAACCATCTGCTGGCAATTCAACACATTGTGCTTACACTACCAGCATTCAAGTCAACTAAACCAAAATTCTGAGCACTAAAAGTCAATGTCAAAGCAAACCAAACAAGAACAACATAAAACTAGCCTCTGAACATCTGAAGTGATCTTAACATCCTACTGTACTACGAACAATGATAAATAAATGCCACAGTGTCTTTAAATAAATTCCTCCACACTAAAATACGACACTGGAATCACAAGTGGTAGGCTGATTTTTGTATATTTCACACTTTGACTGTTCATCACTTAAAAAATTAATTATATCCCAGGGCTTGTTTTACAATGACCCAAAGTGAACAATTTAACTACAGTTTATTCTGCTCTTTAAAACCAATGGGTAGGATTAGAATTTTATGAGCTGTTGCATTTTTTATTAATAACTGGTACTGGTAATATTGATGATAAAATATATCAGTGCTATCCTAATCAGTATAATTTGACTTCTTCTTGCATAATGTTTGTGCACAATTGAGCTAATTTCAAACCACAGCAAATTAAATGGAAATAAACATCAAATAAACTCTCAGGTCAATCTAAGAGAGTGCTTTCTCCAGCATAGAAAGGGCAGCATTGCTTTAATTGTGCTTTCACATGTGCCATGCCTTATAGGACTTCTGTAAATCTCTAGTCTCCTTAAAATATATAGTTGACTTCTTAAAGAAGAAAATTAAGGAAACAAACATACATAACTGTTAAAGAAAGTGTCACATTAGATAAAAAGAGAAGATATTCTTAGACTGTTGAGAGCACTAAATAGATGCTTTAGCTCTAAGATGACATTAAGTGCTAGCCACCATAAGACTGGCCTTTGGGGGATATAAGGGTCACATCTTATGTGCCTCATTTAAAAAATGCTGCTAGACTTTATCTTTGATTTTTGTCATACAAGCATTTAAAAATCATTACTGACTGAGATGATTTTTTTCTCTCAGAAGAACCCTACTTCAGGTCCATTTGCACAGTGACACAAGAGAACTGCTCAGTACAAGCTGCTGGTTACTGAGCAGCTCTACTGAGAAAAGCTGGAGGTTAAAGGTCCCTACTTAAGGCACAATATTGTTAAGAAATTATTAACTATGAACTGGATAATAATAGATATTTTCCATTTGCTTTTAATATATTAGTAAAGTAACAGAAGAAAAATCAAATCAGAAAATCAATATATCACAATGGAATAATGTTTGGGCAGGCTTTCCGTGTAATTCTAATTTGGCCATTATAAACAGGTGAAAAATCCCTGAGAGAATCCTACAGCATGATTGTGTATTCAAGTAAAAACTCTGAAAACCCATTTTGAGATTTTATTTTCAGCCTTTCTATTTTTCTATTTTTGACTCAAATATTTGTAATGTCTTTATGATAAAAGCTTTTTGTTTGCTAAAAAAATGGCTAATAAATGGCTGTATTTAAATGCTTATACCACTTATGTGCATTATTTTACCTTTCCTTATAGTAGTTGTAAGAGTGATCATAGTTACATTGTCAGCATCACAGATGCATTAAGTGTTTTCTTCACAAATACTCATTTCACAGTGCCTAGCACATGCCACAATAAAATAAAATACGTAGTATACTTTTTTTTAGTGTACTATTATTGTTGTTATGTGAAACAGTATGAATGGTCCCAATACAGTAAACCTATCTCTTTGGCTATTTCGTTCAGGTTGAAGCAAAAGGCAAATGGGACCCAAGGACATCTTTCATCAAACTTCTTCATTATGGTGAAATTCAGCTTTCACCCCATTTATGCTGTGCATATTTTATTAAGGAGAGAATAGGAATTCGCTCATGAATAAGCAGTTTGTTAGCTACACAGACTCCAGGGAGTGGGATACAGCTGTAAAGTGGATATAAAGGTTTTTCTTCTGCTTATTTCCCTCACAGATGTGCTCATTTACACAAAAATAAATGCATAATAGTTAATTACACAAGTTGACTCTCAGGCATCAACATGTATAGATGTACAGTATTCAAATTTGTATTAAAAACTCTCACAAGCTCATAACTGACCGCCACTTGATTATCCTTGTATGTTTTTGCTTTCAACTCTCTAAATAGCTTAAACCTCCTCCTTAGGTTTGCATGTAAATAACAAGTAAAACACTGAAGAAATCAAGAACATATGCTAGTGAAAAGAGTTTAAATAGTAATACTTAAGTATTCTATACTGCTTCTCCTGCTCAGCTCTTACGAGAGCTACTGTACCACTTCCTAACTGCTACTCCACTAGTGCTCAACACTACGCACAGCGCCCCTCCAAGGCTCCACAAGGTCGGTGCACGGTTAAAGAAAATAAACTGGAAGATGAACGCCAGCACCACATCCACAGTCCTCATCAGGGCCACAGGTCCGGCCTTCTCGATCTGCAGGGCTTTCGTCAGGAAGGACTGACCAGCAATACCCAGGACAGCGATCAACATCAGCAACCAGCGATCACGGCCACAGAACGGGATTTTCCATTCCCCAAGGACGGATACAGTGATGATGCACTCGATGAAACCGATTACAGCATAGTACCAAACAGAGAGGTAGTAATGTACGCTCTTCCCCATCTTGCGAAGGACAACAAACGTAAAAGCAGCAGCGATCGCTCCTGTGAATAAATCAAAAAATAAGAGACTGAATACACCAATCAGAAGAACAATGAAAGTTAAAAAGTATATTTAAAACTGCTGCTTCATAACCACACATTTATCACTAAATTCATTGTGAAATCATCCAAGTTAATTGACAAACGCTCTGCTGAAACTTACTGGAATGGGTTCCTTCTTGTGACCCTGATGAAAATGTTTTTTATTGGACTGTTGCTGACAGCCATAACCTAATAAAATCATCTGTGAGTCCATGTTTGATTGCCCCTGTATTTTCAGGCTCTTTACTAACATAATGTATTCTGCCACGCCATACCATGTGAACTTTTCCTGCATCCTTCTCTACAGTCAAACTGGCACCATTCGTAACCTCTGCCTCCTGTCAATGCCAAAGTATCACTTCATGGATGTCACTGTACTTAGGGGCCAGCCTTTGCGGGGAACAAAGTTCAATTTACTTGAACCTGATGGAAATCAGGCAAGCAAACGTTGCTATTGTTCAAGCAGTTGCTAAGGAGAGAAAATAATGGCTTTTATTTGCACAATGGTCACATTTGGTGTGACAGCAAGGTTATTCACAAATGTTATTAGGAAGGATTATGAGACTAACCACCACTGAGACCAATCCACAGAGATGTTGAATTGTGCTGAAGAGAGAATTTTGCCATACAGCAAAGCTCGTAATTTACCGATCGATCTTTGTTTGACAAAAAGTGAGTAAAAAGCTCTTGCCCACTTTGCCTGATGGGTGATCTATCAAGAAATGGCAGTGTTTTGCTAGTGGGAAGCCAGTGAGGGATCATGACTTTGTCGCTAAACCAGCAATTCCTGCAAGTTGGAAAATGCAAGCAGCTAAAACTAGGCTTCACAGCAGAGTGGTTACATTTTGTGATTGTGTAAGGTGCTTATAAATCTGAAAGGACCTCAAACCAATGCCCTTTTACATAAAGAGGAGCTTTTTAAGCACCATGACTGGAAGGAGACTCTCGGGAGTAAAACCACAACTAATTGAAAAGACTGTATCTCCCAGTTGAACTGTATATGCCTTGGGACATAGTTGTACTGAACTGAATTCCCCTAGTTGCCATGGTAATCCTGACCTGGTTAAGCAGTTAAAATAAATTACCAACTGACTGACTTATTATGGTCAAACAAACTCAAATGCTTTATAAATGCATATATAAACCGAGTCCATTCATTGTATTACCTGCAAATGCAGCAATAGTCCCCTTGATGTGGTTGGTGTAGTTGCCCTCAATGCCACGTAGATGACCGCCAAAGAGGAATGGTGGCCGGGCGATAAGTATGACTCCAGTGATGGTGAAGACAGTGAAGACACAGTCCCAGATTGTACATCTCTCCTTCAAGAAGATCCAAGCCAGGAGTGAGGTAAAGACTGGATTACTGAGGGGTCAATGGACAGTGAAAAAAAGGGTTAATAGACAAAGAAAGAAAAGTGATAGAGATGAGAGCATGTGAAAAAGTAAGTTAAATTAAGAGGGAAGTGTGGTGAGAAATGTTGATTATTGTCTCAACAGATTTTTGACATATGAGGTATACAGCTCTATGTGAATCCACTTTCCCATCTATTCAATGTATTAAAAAGAATGTGGGACAGATAAATAGTTAAGTAAGTAAGGAAAATGCTGGCAAGTGAGATACAGAGATGAGGGAGAGGAAAGAATAAGAATGAGAGGGAGATTAACGAAAACTGTACAATTCAACAAGGATAGAATGTAATTTTAGTGTTAGTATCATCTCTACTAATCCACTATCAATTATGTTCTAACCAGCTCTCACCTGAACATGATGACGGTGGCATCTGCTAATGGCATCTGCTGAACAGCATAGAAGAGCAGGATCATGGCATTGGAACCAATGAAACCCCGAAGTACCAGAAATATACGTTTATCTCTGGGTCCGAGGAAACCTGTCCTGGAGGAGCAGAGATATGAGGATGATGGATGAATGGATGACTGGATGGATGGATGACTAGACTGACTGATAGAGGAAGCAATTAAAAGTATTTCAGAAAAAAACAGGATGGACTGAGCAGCAAAGTGAGCTGAGTGATGGCAAATGGCTGGATGGTTCGGTAGATAGATGGATACATTTAGGTTGTGAGGAAATGACAGTGACGAATGGATGCATGGATGGGGCTGAAAGGAGAGGAGGAGGGGCAGTTTGGTTGGTGATGATTTAATGTTAAAATAAAAAAAATGCAGAGGAGGAATGGATGGATTGATGAACAGGTAGATGAATGAATAGGAGTACTGGTGGTAGTCTTTGGGAATTCAGTTTAATTTCAATTCTTAGGGTCAAAATGTGATTTTAAAGTATTATTTTCTAAAAATCTGTGATGTTCATTGTAGTCTTTAACAGTGTTGTCATGTGAAAATGGCATGAGATGTGTACAATATAACAACTTCAAGTGGGAAGACAATGAAGTAGCCTATTTTTCATCAACATTCTTAAACTTGTCTGAGCAGTGACAGTATGTTAAGTCAGGATTCTTGCCTACAAAGTGGACACAACACCAGGAATAAACTGCGGACAGGGAAAGATGCTATTTCACTGAGTTTATGCACTTAATCTTGTCACAACATATAAATTGCTGGTTTGGTTTGTTTGGGAGTGTTACTATAACCCTAATTATTTCATGTCATGTGTAAAACTTTAACCTGAAATTAATGTTTAAAAGTCTTAAATGTTTGAGTTTCTCCATTATGCTTACTTGTGGTAGATGAGTAATGGCATAACAAAGAGCATCTGGAAGAAGCAGCGTATGGCGCTGATTTCTATGGCGTGCACTCCCTGGATGGTTTTCACCAAGACGGCAATGATGGAGAAGAAAACTGTGGACAAGAAAGCATAGAACAAACCAAGACCAGGACATCCCTTTGGTTTTTCTGTAAAAAAGAGAGAAAAGGAAGAGCGAGTTAAAGAACAGGTAGTGATGGTGGCAGAGAAGATAAGTATGAAGGTGTAGCAAGAGATAAGAGGGCCTAAGAGGGGTACTACTGTTCCACACTTCATTTATAAAAATACTGCTTGTTTTGTTGTACTTATGTTGGTGCAGTAACTGCAGGATGGAGAGTATGTTACTGAACTCCATGTGGCCTGGGTAAAAATTCAGGTGCAAAAACCACAAACAAAAAGATCCGCAAAAGACAGCGGTGTAGTGTTTGCAAACCCTGCCTGTGGAACAATAAACTGATATGCTTGTGGAGATTAAATTTCAACCTGAGGTCACTCAGGCATCTTTCTTTGTGCTTGTCCACAATGTGTGGTCTATTTATCATTCCATTTATTATACAAAGCATTTGTCTTGTTAACCTTGCACCAAGCCAAACAGTTGAATGTACATCCTCTTTAACCTTAAGTTGTCATATTGGTGCACTGCTATCAGATTTGTCTGAATAGAGTGCCCAGTAGAAACATGCAGGAAGATCATTATAGTGTTACTTTACTGACTTAGTATTACAGTATTACACTTACTTTTGTTACTTGTTAATTACATTTTGATTGGAATCAGTGACTTGGATGAGATGATAAACATTAAGGCAAGAACAAAATCATATCATCACTTATAATATTTGCAGAATTTCATCATTTCAGCAAGTATGTAAATAATAATTATTAATTACTGTCAATCAAAATTTTAATATCAAAATTGAAATTGGATTAAAGAGAAAATCGGAGATAAGAAGTTGTTGGAGTGAGAATATCAGTGATTAACAAAGTGAACCCACACATTTATAAGTACTGCCTTGTTTTCCACATTGTTATTGGCATTTTACTCCGGGTACAAAATGTACATTATGCAAAACTGATAATCAGGGGCAATGAGAATGCATTTTTCACTTCCTTGTACGTTTCCAAATCAAAGCCACAGAGCCTTTCTTCCTCATACCCTGTTACACCAGTGGAAAAACCCCTTCTATACCTCTTTTGTTGATGGGCACTTACTTATTGAACCGGAGTGTTGGGCAAAAGATATTCAGATGTACACTGTAGCCATATAAAGAGGAAATGTTTAAAATTCAAAAGATCTTATTTATACAATCTGTGTGATATGCAAAGAGCCTGCAGGTATGGTTGCCCTGGTACTGTAAAAGTGCACAGTCATCCATCCTCTAAGGATGATGCAAAAGCTAAGCTGGCTTAGAGCAGACGGCAGGCTACAACAACCTAGTTGTTGAGAGGCACACTAACTTTGAACAATATGTGTCTTATTATGGTGATTATTAAGAATAAAATGTAAATAAGGAGATATAGTTAACGTTAGACTCTTGGTAAGACCAACCACTATCAATAAAAACATTACCAGTTAATAAATGACCATAAACAACATATTTCCATTTACTAGTATTTGTTTACACAGTCTAAAACATTTGGACTGTGTAACCCACTTTTATCGTGACGTAAATCTTATGAAATTACGTCATTTGTGTCAGCCTTAAAGAAAAAACAGAAAGGCGACCAAACTTCACGAAAATTGTTTAAATGACTTTAAATGTGCTTTCCTTCGACTTTAACGATGATTTTTGTGCTTTCCTTCGACTTGTAGGTTAATGATATACATGTGATATCAGCACTGTTATTACTAATACGTGACGTTACACGGTTGTATAACGTAAGGCTACGCAGGAAGTCTCTGGTTCTCTGGCTGCTTATCACTTTATTTCTGCATCTTCTGCCTGTCACAAAGTTCAATAACAGCCGACACTGATATGAGGGTGGGGGCATTTATCACTTCAGGGTTAAATCTCGTTTAACGCAGTGAGTGCGTGAACTCTTCTACCTTCACGTGCGCTTCCGTCTCGGGATGATGCGGGCTTGTTCCTGACGCAAAACGCAGGCGGACACAGCGTTTTCTTCTCGCTGCCTTCCTGTGAATCCTCGCTCCCTCGCGCTTCCCCCTTCTCCTCAGCATCTTCACCATAATGGCACAACACATGACAGTTTCTTTGCAAGTGAACCCGCTCTGCTGTCCGTTCATCGTCGCCACACTCGTCGTGGTCGTCGCCGTCGCTGTTCTTGTCATGGCTGTCAACTTTGTGAAACACCACAGTAATGTCGTCCTCTACGGATAAAGCCCGCTCGTGTGTACAGTGGTTACAGTCGCCCATGGTAAGATGTGGCGGCTGAGCAGCAGCATGCCTCGGACAGAGTACTGTCCTCCTTCGGTGCCCTGAGTAACTGAAAAGACAAGGTTAATGACTAACCTTGGTGCCAGGATAGAAACTCCCATGCGGTGGTTACTTTACCCACAGGGGGGCAGAACTGAACCCAATCCACCTCTGCTGGACAACTAAAACATTACCCAACATTTACGACTATTGCTGAGGGAGGCAGTGCATATTTTAACCAAACAGATCTCAGCTTACACATTTAGACAGACACAGGTCTTGAATTACATGTATGTAGGCTACATGATTATAAGGAGTATTAAAGCTCATCATTTTTTTTGACATAACACGTACGTCATAACCATGGCCTATACATCAAAAACATGACTTAATTCAAAATAACGAGGTCTTAGGATATTTGAAAAAATATCTGTGAGCTATGACAATGTAACAATTTCCTAAAGAATCATATATTAATTTTTAATTTTTTTGATTTTCAGCTGGAACTGGCTGGGGATCACTGTATTTGTTTTTGTTAATTCTGATGCACTTTTGACCACCTACCTTCACGCAACACTCAACACTTACTCAACACCTTTTAGTGCAGGATTGGATGTCACTGCATAAATTATTATAAAGTGTGAAAACACATTGTATCAGCTCAAGAGGAATAGGTTATAAATCTAAGAAAAAAAAACAACTGAATCCAAACTGGACTTGTAAGAGGATCTTCTACGTGATAATGAAGAGTGTCACTGATTTGAGTGAATGTAATGATTGCTGACTCCAGTTTATCTAAGGAATGGAAAACATAAGTTTACTGGCAAATCGGTAACAACAGTAAAGGAACCACATCTCTGATGTAGCATTTTAGTATTTTATTACTACTGTACATAAAATACAATGAGCAAGATGACAAAGGAATAACTAATATCCTCTACCCTTACCTAACTAGATTAGACTGACACAAGTAAGTCTATACTGTTTTGCAGATGTTGCATGTTACACAGTGTTTGAGGAGGTGATCCTTGTTTTTTTTTTCTCTTTTTTAAATATCTACACTAAATTCTATGTCTATGAAAAATAAAACATTGAGTGTGGTCCCGTCTACATACAAAAGCAATATCATATAAAGTACTTTACACAGTATTGTAAAAACGTAAACATTATATTTGGCAAGTTGTTGTCAGTGAAGTTGTTAAATTGTTATCAATATTCTGTTCCTTTTGTGTCAGAATAAGAGGACCGTGTGAAAGCACAGGTAGTAGGTGCTGCACAGTGGTTGGCTTTTAGTTGCAGAGTAAAGACAACAATGGTTTTGTCAATGAGGGAGAAAAGGGGCAAGAGTGCAGTGAAAGAGAGAGGGCTGGTTGACACAGTGGGATGCTTCTAGCGAGTCATTCATCAGGAATCAACACTATGAGTGTCTCTATCATGCATACAGTCTTGCTTTTCTGAGAGTAGACACAACTGAGATGTGATGTCGTTTTCCTAGTTTCTCACAATGTTTAGTGGATTCTTCAACTCATATATGAGGGTCAGTTCTTTAAGTGTAAAGTAATTACTGACGGAGCACAGGTTAACTAGCTGCCAAACTGTGCTAGAAGGATGAACATAATTCTCAGCAAGTAGTCCAACTTTTATCCGTATTTGGTAAACATTACTAACATTACTAACTACAGTGTTACTGTTGCGTTATCATCAAATTTAGATTAGATTACAATTTGAACATTCATGAGACTCTCCATCTTCTGCAAGGTATTTAATGACCCAGACTTTGTCACATGAGAGTCTAAACAGCTCTTGTGTGACAGAGTTCAATTAATTTTCCTGAAATGCCCTGTTTAATTAAAGAGGACTTAAAGAAAATTGTCTCTTGTGTCCATAGTTTTGGATACAACTGCACATGTGACCCTGGATGCATTTTGCCTCCTTTTCTCAAGAAATATTTCACTATGTAGCTATTGTTACATGGTCATCAGAACTACCAAATTCCTAAACCTTTACTATCAAATTCCTACAAGAAAGATAAACAATATATAGGGTTGAATAGAAAAAACATACTGTGTTTCAAGGTACTGTAGTGAGGCCTACATGGTTGAATAACAGACAAAAAGAATGAGTTGATAGTTTGTTTTTTCCTAAAAGATAGTCAGTTCGCACTCTGAGTAAAGTTTTTGACATGGAGAATAAGGCGTTCCTAAACAGTTTATCAAAATTAACTAGTTACAGCAGGTTGCCAAACATTAGGTATAAGGGACTGTGTAGAATATGTCAGAATAAACTCACTAATCATAACCAGTGTAAGAATTTCAATCACCTTATCTCAGCCCAGCCTAACCTTAATGTCCTGAATTGTATTTGAAACATCTTTTTAGCTAGTTTGAGCTTCTGCTTGAAACTTCCATTAGTTTGACTGTAGATGGGAATTGCTAGCGGATTCAAATTCAACTGGCAAGTAGTGTACGCCATTTGTCCTGATTTGACAATGGGTTTAGTTACTCAAATCAATCATGAGGTGCTCATATATCTGAGTTTTTCCCTTGAAGCTGGATGCAAGCAGGAACACCCGGTCGTCAATGGAAACCACAGAAAATGCTCGAGGCGCCTGGATATTCAGCTCCTGAGATGGGACAAACTGACCCCTCTTGGTGTCCCACTGGTAGACCTGCGTCAGTGAATAATCGCTGCCCAAGATGGCATACTGCCACTTGCCGACAGAGACAGGCTGGAACACCATAGAACCACGGGAGGGAAATGTCTGGACCTCCTTGAACATGGCACCGTCCCAGCGCATCACCTTGGAGTCCCCGATGAATCTTGTTAAGCATATAAACAGATCACCTTGGAAAAGGACAAAGATTCAAGGGACTGTTTAGTTTACACATTCAGCTACTAAATCAGAATCCGACATAGAAAAGCTCACAAAAACAATTCATCTAAGTCCAAAATAATTCTTAGCTTGTTGTCAGCAGCTAGTTATTAAAGTGTTACTAGTGGATGAGCTGTCCCTTTAGAAAGAACAAATACAGACAATAATACAATAATGATTAATGGGCAGGTTTTATTGCAGCTGACAGTGAAATGAATACCGATATGAGATGTGGAGCAATGAGCAACTAGTGTAATCAATGAAAATCAATGAAAATGTTGACCCTGTCCACTGTTAATCACACGCCCCAGACTATCTGCATTAAAAATAGAATGATGGCGTCTTCAGTACAGATACTGTTTATGTAGTATCCTGCTCTAAGGGCAAACTAAGTCACAGCAGCTGATACTGTGATATATTTAAAAAAAAAAGAAATATTGATATCGTGTTAATAATACACATATGATAATACAGTGATGGCAGATGTTCGGCCTTGTGGATCTTTTGTTTATCAGCTCATCTGGTCGCCTTTTCACCATCCATTAAGTAATTGTACCTTTTGTTCGCTTTTTTACAGTTATGGTTACACAACTATGGTCTCTCCACCTCCCTACACTCGTACTGAATCTAATTCATTTGCCAAAGAAGAGACAAAACATAAAAAAGTTAAAGTTGAATTTGGCTGATAGCAGTGTCTTTTTAGTCAGTGCAAAATACACCCTGTGTGTGTGTACATACACTGCTATTCAAGCTGCAGCTCTCACCTTGTACCCGAAAGTGTTTGACAGAGAAGACGTCCTCCATCTCTGGTATGTCAGTGCGGCGGTCAAACTGTTTCTGACCCCTGTTCCACTGGTACACAACAGGTCTCTGGGAGCTGCTGGACAAGATCAGGTGGGGTTTGTTGGAGATCTCCAGATATTCTACATCTGTGTCCCGGTACCACGGGTGGAGTGATTGGTGCGAGTAGAAGCCATTCCCATTCCATTTGTACACTGTTGTGGAGCCAGCCTGCGAGAAGAAAAAATGTCAAACATCAGCAAAGATCAACTTTATTCAAAACACAACTTATACTAAATGTCACAGACCTGTAACAAAGTGATTAATAGTGATCTACAAAAACAAATTAATCAGTAATTTTTAGAGTATGGGGCAAAAGATGAGTGTGTGTGTGTCTGAGTATCCTGAAACATATGTGAGAACATATGTGAACATTTGGCATTGCTGGAGTTATCAGCAGGAGCAGACACAAAACGACATGCTGCGCAGAACAGCAGGGGGAAGGAAAGGCTGACACGGTGGGAAGAAGACTTTAGAAGAGCAGAGTGGACACAGTAACACCTATTTACAATATATTGGAATCAAGTACAACTGCTTTGTTATTGTAATTGTTATTAAAAAAGTAAAACAGCCATCACTACTGAGCCGTACATTTAAGTGATCTGTCACCAAAAGATCTGTTTATGCTCTGCTCAATAAGTACTTCTGAGTATTGGAAAAGGAAAAAAAACAGCCGACCTTAGAGCTGTCAGCGATGACGAAGAAAGACTCCCCATCGATCATGAACGTCTCCACGTCGTTGGGTTTACGAATCTTCAGGATGTCAATGTCCTGGATCTTGATGAACTTGTTGGCAGAGGTGTCACGTTTGTAAATGTGTGAGCCCCCAAACAATTGGGCCACGATGACAAAGAGGTGGTTGTCGATCACCATGGGCTTGCACACCACAGTGGAGGTGCCTAAACAGGAAAAGAGAGGAGAGGATGATAACAAGGAAAAAAACATTATTAATACAAGACGGATAATCATTGATACTAAAGGAACAGATAGCATTTGTTTTATATCCCTAAAGAGTGCTTAACCATATTGAGACAATATAATCAATACACGGTTACTCATACCTCTACCTGTCATTTCTGCCCCAGTTAATAATTATGCCTCACTGCTCTTCTTTTTTTTTTTTTTTACTCACTTTCAATGGTGTCATAAGTTCTGAAGGTCATCTCAACGTGATCCCATTCGAGGAAGCTGCACGTCCCAGCAAAGGGTTGGGGGAACACAACATACTGATCTTCGCCAAAGGTGAAGGCCTCCACTGAAATGGACTCAAACTTCAGTGACTGATAGGAGGCAAACTCTGAAAAGTATGACATGACAATGAATTCTTTCTTTTCTCTCTTCAAATAATCCTTTCATCTTGATAAATTCTTCCATACACAGGTAGGACGAACACTGCTATGCATTTTGGCTTTATTCCCAGCACTGAAATTGTTTGTATGGACAGGAAGGAGACATGGGAGGAGAAAAGGGTGAGGCAGTCAATTGGGGACAGAGAGCTATTGTTGATGTATTTCCTCTATGACAAGGGGACAGACAGAGGAAGATGATACCTGCTGTGATGCAGTCAAAAGAGTGTGGCAGCAGGTCATTGATCTTCTTCCCCTGGTGAATGGGTGGGCCGCTGCAGTAGATCTGATCCAGGGTGGCGTTAGTGTTGTGCATCCACTCCACCAGCCACTTTAGCTTGCAGTCACATATCAGGCTGTTGCCTCGCAAATCCCTACATGCACGGACAAATAACATGGAAGATCAGTTGACAGATTTGTTAGTTACGACATAATATCATAAACAGGCACTTTTGAAGCATGTATTCTAAACAAGTTTTGGATTCTTAATCTGCTCTCCTCTACATGGCTGCACTTTAGCTTCCAGCCAAAGACAGCACAACAACAAGTGGTCCTCTTTGCCTGAGTGATCTCTGCTTGTCGCCCACTCTCAGTCGGAATTGTTGTTGACCTTGAATTTGTGTATTGAATCCACACAAACACACACACACACACACACACACACACACACACACACACACACACACACACACACACACACACACATCGCTGGCTGCATTATTCTAGCTGATTGTAACCAAAGCCAGCATCCAATTCTTTTCTCTGTAACTGACTTGTTTAGCATTTACCCTGACATTCTGGCATGCTAACCCAAGTTTTCCTTTACAATCTGTCCATTCCTTACTCTGTTTCTTCTCACTCTGATCCTCTATTTAGAGTAGGGATTCCTCTTCTTTCCATTCTAGCACCATGGCTTCATAATATTACTCTATTTAATTCCACAGTTTAAAGGAGCTATTTGTAAGTTTTGCTATCGCTACATAGCTAACGTTAGCATTAACAGCTGTTTACTTAGGCCTACCAGTCTTGCTGAGAGCTTCAGCCATCGTTGTGTTTAAAAGAGGTTATAATATGTTCCTCTGACCAGTGCTACTTCTTCAGGGCAGCCTGGATGCGACAGTGACTCGATATCAGAAAGTGACGAGATGGTGCGGCCGGGTTGAAGCTAGCATATTAGCATGCAGTAGAAGAAAATAAGTGCTAGAAATGGAAGCAAAACAAGAGGGTTGCTTTCCACCGCTGGAGACAGCTCCAAAGGAATGAAGTTTGATGTTGAACTCGCAATGTTTCTTCTAGACAGGTGAGTGAACAACTGTTTATGCTAACGTTGGCTGTGTAGCGATAGCAAAACTTACAAATAGCTCCTTTAAGTAAAGAGGGGAAAAGACAAAAGAAGATGTTGCTCAGCATCTTCATTTTTTTTCGTGGGCTTCAGCAAAGCTCACCCCTCCCAAAAAAATCTCTCTGGACACCAAAAAATATTACAGTACATTTCTTCTTGTTCCATTAGCTTACATCAACTAAATTGTAGCCTATAGCTAGTTCACATGTCAAACACATGGAGAGGATCACATAGAAAAAGATAATGATTACTTCTGGTCATATTAACAATATATACGGAAATGTGTATGCATTTAGGCTTGAATCACTGTGAATATATTGTGTCTGATACAGGCTGCACTCACACTTTAGTCAAAGCGTCCATGCCCTTGAAGACATCCTTGGGCAGCGTCTCAAGATTGTTGTATGCCAGACTCCTAATCAACGTGAATAAAATCATAACACACACACTGATTGAATTAGAAGTAGACTGTCTCTCCACAGAGAGTGCACGCTGAGACATTTATCTGTATTATAGAGAGTAGAATAAACAAATTATTCTACCAACATAATTACAAGCGACTAAGTGTAAGGTCAGAACTTGAATCCCCCGACAATATTTCTGTGACATAGAACAATCATGTAGCTATCAGGTGTTTGAAAGGCTAAGCAGTGAAATGGAAGGGGATAAAAGAATTAGTGATTCATTAATTAAGGGAGAGTAATTACATGGAGTACAGGGAGGGAAAATCATTTGTTTGGAAAAGGGTGACATGCTGTTCTTTATACAACACACCCATTATGTGAAGCTGTACAGGGTAATATTTCATTCTCTTAATAGTGGTCACACTTCACACTGAAAAACAGTATTACTGCTCTTTGTTTTTGACCAACTAAAATAAGGCCTTACAGACAGTTTTCATTTGTGAGCATAGAGACTGAACTACAAACCAGAAAGAGCTGTGAATGCAGTGAAATGTCAGCGTAATTCATGGACGTTGCATTATTTATTTGAGAGTCGGTTTACCACTGGGAGAGGCCATTTTACTTTGAATTTGTGCAAGAATGCGCTCTCCAAACAGATGTGGGGTTAGAGCAGAGTGGACAGGATTTGAGCAGGACCCCTGCCTGTGCCTTTTAATAATGTATTTACTGTATGTGATGCATTCAAAACATCCTCTAATAATGCATTTATTCATCATTTTACTGGTATGAAAGTGAATTTACTTTCTTTTAAACCAGGTGAAGGTATCCACAGCAACAGGAAGAGGGCACTTTATCCCTTCACGCAGTTGCATATGACATTGGGGGTCATATTAGAAACACTAGTAGTAACAGTATTTGTATCTGTCCACCTATTATTGTTTGATGACTGCTTGACTGGAAATGGTTTAAACCTAGAACAATGGAGCATAAGAAACTGTTTTCTGTCTGCCACAGATAGTATGATACATCTGAGATGAATCTGAACCACTGACACTGAAACATTGATATTTGCAGCTTTAATAATGAGAATAATGGCTTCTCCCACCCAAACCCTGTCTGAATAAATCCTGACTTCCTGTCATATTTGAGTGCTTTCCACTACAGGATTTCCTAAAAGATAAACAGGGAGAGTTGAAAGTAACCCACCTATCCATCCACACATTGTTTCATGCATGGTGAGGAACACAAGTATGCAAGCATTTGGCTGCACCACCCTGCATGAACTCAAAATGTCATAGACTCAGGGGCAGATTATGAGCCACTTGGTTTAAAGTTACTGTACAGTTATATTTAGTCCTGACCTACAGGTCGAACACGTTCTCAACTATCATTAGTTCTGGCATACTTTGCAGTTCAGGAAAGTGAGATTGTCTTTACAAAAATACAGTTTATCTAATGTTGTTTGGCTTTTTCCTGTATTAAGATTTTGTTAACATGATTTCTGTTAACAAGGACGCTATTAAGAAATCTTTCCTAAATAATATAACCACATATACATACTGCTTTAACTTGTTTTTGAGAAATGTATAAAACTAACTACACAAAAATAACTACACAAAAATAAATCTATATGAGTTAAAGTCACTGAATCCTTCTTTTTTTCTCTGCAATATGTGAACAACAATTCTGCTGGTTCACTAAGTCAATGCAACATCTAGAGTCACCATGATCTGCCTTTCCGCAACCTGATCCAGCTGACACCTTCAGCCGTTAACCTTGGACATCACCACTGGCAGCAGCACTTGTGCCTACTTTGCACTTCACACAGTAACACAGTGATACAGTGAGAGAAAAGGGCAAATAATGCACATTTTATGTTGGAATATCATAAATACCAGTATCCTATTAGCTTTTGAGAAATTATTTAAATGGAGAATGTAAAAGCAGTTGGTGTAAAGTGTGGATGATTTGGGGTTAAAGTCATAAAAACTGGGGTTGAACAAAGGATGGAAGAGTATCAGTGAGGCAATACTTACAGATGTATCAGTGCTTTCAGGCCCCGGAACGCAAATGGAGATATTGATGCAATTTTGTTATTTTCAATAAATCTGTGAATGAGAAGCATTTTGATAGATTAAGATAGATTACCCCAATGTAAATTATCTCACATCTGAAATCCTTTGACTTCCTGCACGTCTTCCCCCTTTGCTGTTGTGAGAGAATATTGTGTAGAAAACCTAGATCTGTCCTATTTGCATTTTAAACTGTATACTAGCTGTATACAAGTATTCAGTACATTCATACTGAAATAAATGTCAAAATGAATTATACCTTAAAGCCCCTGTGCACCTAAACAGTTGTTTTCAATTATTGTTCCAAATTATAGACGCCTGCTCTGATTGATGTCGGACTGAGTTAGGCTAGGAATTGCATGAGGCCAGCAAACTTCATGAGCTAATCAAAATCATGAAAACGTAAGTTATCCCACCCTCATCAGGCAACATACGTGGAAAAACCTTTGTGGGTGAAACATGGGTGTGTAGGCGCTTTAAAATGCCAGTGTTCATGCCAATATTACACAATTCTTGAGAACAATGCAACGCTCTGATCCAAGGTCATCATTTGATCAGTGTATGGTGTATTCTATGTTTGTATATTTTATGACACTCTACCACAGAAATTCACTTTACCTTATATATTAATAACTATTCATGTACCAAAAAACAGGACTATTGCAAGCTTTAAAGAGAAATACTTACAGATATTCAAGATGTGGTAAACCTAGGAATGCATCTTCATCAATGAGGTCAAAGGAGTTTGCTGTGAACAACCTGTGAAGAACAAATGAAAAACAAGGAAGTACAAGGAAGTAACTTAAAGCTAATGTACACTCCTTTGTTATAGTTTCCAACCATGCTCGGAAACTCACTTCATTCACATAATTTTGTCACTGTTAGTGTTTCAAAACTATATTTACTGTACACACAGATGGCGAACTAGGCTAAGCTTCAAAACATCAACAATGAGCTGATGGGACGTAGTAAAATTTGGGGTTGCTGTTTGTTACCACAACACGATCTGGGAGTGTGATCTCCAAACTGTTTGATGAAGTCAGTGAAAACGATGTTGTGGCAGACCAAGTGTAAAAGACAACAGACTAATTCAGTATTTCAGCCCACGCTATGTGGTTAAAAAAAAAAAAATGAAATGAAATGAATAAAACGGGGAAATGGCAGCTCACTCCTACATGTTTTTTTCATGAAAGGAATTAAAGAGAGAAATGGTTGCCTCCTCCCACGTTTCTGAGTCACCCTTTGAACCAGTAATGTAAGAGTAGTGTCCAACAGCGACATATTGTGCACATCACTTCATCTACACATTAAATCTGATTATGAGAACTTGAAGGATTTGGCAGTAGTATAAGTCCAGCGGAAAAGTTTCGCCTCTATTTGGTGAATCTATTATTTAAAAAAAAAAAAAATCTCATTGGTATTTCATAATATAACATTTCAATCACAAAATGCCCCTTTCAAGTCCAAGATGTATGCACAGAAAACAGGAGACAGTGACCCGTCTACAAAGAAGCCCCATTGATTTAGTAGTGCTTTAATGGAGGTTAAGACACTCCGGGTCACCTTGATAGTAAATAATAACAGACGGGGCAGTACCATTTACTCACTTTCCCCAGTTAAATTTACCCTCTTCCTGGTCACCAGTCTGTTTCTCTGGCATCAGTGCATTGGTACCTCCTCCTACACTTGAGAGTTCACGCACATACAGACTGATTTATGGAGCAAGTGATGCCAAGAAAAATGTTTTGCTGAGACAAGAAGACGCTCGGTGACAGCGTGCTATTATGTGCAGTGAACTGAAACAAGTGTGATTAGAGAATACGGTTAAGGCCGACCTTGCTGTTGATTTGTGGGTTTGCAATAACAAATTGCTCAATAGACTCCAGCCCTAACAAAAACATCTAATAGTGCATGTCATGTCAGGATAAACTATACTGTTATGTACGTGGCTTTGTTTTTGTACGCCTTTTTTCCTCAAGTGTTATATCTTACAGTAAGAACATGTTTGTCTCCACACACACACACACACACACACACACACACACACACACACACACAAACACAAACACAGCCCCTGCTGTTAGTTGCTGTAGCCATGTGGTCTATTGCATAATCCTGACACCATTACAGAGAATCCCTCTTTAAATCTGCATATCAGCCCCTATACAGGTCCTCTGGGGACACCCTGCCTAAATAGATGGATAGATAGATAGATAGATATATAGATAGATAGATAGATAGATATACTCACAGCAGTTGCAGGGCAGGAGTGTGAACAAAGCTTCCCCCAGTGATTTCATGAAATCCAGACTTGACAAAAGATCTGCATGGATGGAGAACATGTATTAAAGGTGAATTTATCAGAAAGTGCAGTAAAGATGAGACCTGGATACACTGAAAGGCAGAGACAAAGGTGCCATAAGCTTTCCTGACTATCAATCATATGGTAGCCAACAATGAAATCAAGAGTCTTTCATTATGCAGCTGCAGGACCACTTACAGTGAAACGACGTCGGAGGGGAAAGTGTGAGGCACGGATCGGACATTCTCACACAGGGCATTATCTTTGGTGCAAATACATCCAGCGGGACATCTGGGCTGCCTCACTCTCCGTCCGTCTGCTGAAAGCAAGCTGACAGCGGCGACCCAAACCAAGAGCGTCCATCCTTTCCATCCTCTCCATCCTCTCACTGCTCTGCCCGGGTATCCCATTCCTTCTGTCCCGGCCGAGAACTATCACTCCTGGAGCATGCAACTTCTATAGGCAAAATCCACGAGGAGTAACCACAGGATTTAACAAGCAATCTTGCAATGGTTACTGATATACTTATATCAGTCTTGTTTGTTTTAATGACAGAAGCCCGTGTTGTGGCTCTCTGATGCAGCCTTGTGTCTATGCTTCTTGCGTCTCAATAGGAAGGCACCAGTCCAGCGGATTCGTTCTGCAAGGCACAGGATTACAAATGCAGGATAGAGAGAAAACTGTCTCAGATTTTTATCATGAAGATGAATTATCTCAAGCTCCCAAAATAAAAAACACGCTGCTACAAAAATCGGTCTATTTCTAATTAGTCTGCTGCTTACAAAGAAGTTGTCTTGCAGACTCAGTGCTGCAGCCATGAAAGGGGGGGGGGGGGGGGTAAAAGCGTAAATTCCCGTGAGAGAGAAAGAGAAGGGGAGAAAGAGAGCGAAGGAGGAGAGAGAGAAAGGGGGGGAGAGGCCCCAAGGTGCGCTTTTTTATCAGCAGTGCCAGCTATTATTTATGCGCGCTTCAGAGCCGTGCATGGCTAATGGCAAGCCGCTATTCATGAGCTCTGTGCAAATGCACCTGCCTCACTTCATTCAGATGCTGCCTCTTTTCTTCCCTGCTTTGGCATAATAATGACATTAACCGAAGAAAAGAGGATGAGTTTACTCCATATGGTTAAAAATAAACATAAAAAATTAATTCAGTGATTCTGTGGCCTGAGAAATAGGGCGAGAGCCATTCATGGTCTCCTCTATAGCATTTGTCTCTAACTGCCTCTCTTTCTTCAGTCCCACATTGACTGCTCTGTTGAGTTCAGTGGGTTGTGGAAAAGTCATGAAACACTGGACTTCTGTTCCCCAGACTGTGGCGAACTTTCACCCCTCGTCACCTTCTCATAACCCGAGCACTCAATTGTAGGTAAATATTCAAATAGCATAAAGCCCTCTTTATTTTCCATCTACCAGTTGAAACGCCTACATGCATCCTCATGTTGTCCCTGAGCGGAAATGAACGATATGATCCCAATTAATCATCATCAAGTGTAATTGGGGCATTTGTTCCAACATGAAAGTCAGTATCTGATGCTGTACTCCTCTTTTTCGCTGTAAGAGCCACATTTTGTGATACAAACGTCACCTTCCTTCGATAAATATTGAATAAATATTGACGGATGAATTAGGCTGTCCAGGCACAGTTTAGGTGGCCAAACCAAAGAGCTGGCTACCAGAGGCGAAGTAACATCTTGATTCTTTATCACAAAGTGACTCCTGCATTAATATCCACGTTAAAGGATACGGATCTTCATCTTTTCTCAGCAGACTATCTCAGAATAATTCATGAAGCTAGACTAGACGTCATCATGCCGCGATGTGCTATGCTGCGTCATCATATGGCGACGTGCTTTTCATTTTGTAAACATTTGACTGAGGGAGAAGAAACTTATGGATAATCTTGTGAAGGTGTGTTGCTATTAAAGTGTAAAATCTGCCTTTTTCATGTAAACAAGTCTGGAAGAATATTTAGCGTTTCGTGTATTTGTTATTAGCCAGTTAGCATTAAAAACATTAGCCAAAACATTAGTTAGCCACAGGGGTTACCTCTCTTAGCCTAGCTGTTACTCTTGCTTTTACAGTTAAGCGTTTAGCTAAAAGCAGCATCGCTGTGTCGAACTTTGGCTGTATGTTTAATGGCTAATGCTAAAGTATGTATATTGGCTCTCACGAAGAAGCCTGTTACAGAGGCAGGACCATGTAAAGCACCAAGAACAAAACACAAAATAGCATCTTGAAGATGTTCAGCTTCCGAACAACAACTTAAACTGGTCATTCGACAGCGGTACATAGTGTCATATGCACTGTATTGTCAGCTATAACCGATCGTGTGTAGTGGATAAAAATCTAAGAGGCTACCTATACCCATGTGTAAAAGTGTCACAGGCTTCTGAGCATGTTTCTCAGTGACTGGGTACATACATACAGCATACGTTATGCCTTTTGAAATATGTTTCATTCTGCAAGTTGGTCTGTTTGTATGTAAATAAATAAACGCATTGCATTCGATCAGATGTGATTCCACCAACACAAATGAGTTCCTGTGTTTCCTCAGGTGCATGGAAGCGGTGGCTATGACTCTGACTTCAGTGATGATGATGGACAAGGAGAGTCCTCACACAGAGGCATTAAAAGGTAAAACTAAAGACAACAGCATCACAAAGGCTCACTGATATATTTATGTGTGTATTCAAATATTTATCATCTAAACTAATGGGGTTTTGTGTCTGTGTTGACCAATGCTAAAATGCTAAACAGCAAAGGAAGTCACACAAAGGCTGATATTGTGGATAAATATAAGTGCTTCCTCTACCATCTTTACTTTTGTCTCCAAGAGCTTCCATTCAGACTGATGTGGGTCGACAACCTCATCAACTAACACATGCTTTCTGTATTTATTTGTACCTTTGTCAGGAAAAGTGAAGAGGAAATCTTACAGAAGCCGTTCCAGAAAGGCCGGCACTCCCAAGTGGCTCACCGGAGTTTACACTCTAATGAACTGGACAGGTAGTGTACAATCAATCATATCTAATTATGCAAGTCATTATGTTTTATGTTTAATTACTTCTCACGTCCATCATGCAGTTTAATTCCTTTTCCCAAAATGAGCGTTATTCCTTTTCGATCCCATGTTCACATTGTGATTAATGTCAGTTATGATAATATATAAACATTTCCTATATTTAAATGAAATCCTTCAATCAAATTGAAATTTTCATGTGCAATTTGTGATGTATAAAAATGAAGAAAAATCCGATTATAATTTTTTCATGTTTGAAAACTTATCATTGCTGCCAACTAAAATCCCTATGAACCATTAATATATGCTTCAAGTAAAATTGGACCATAATTCCTTTGTCTTATAATAATTTCTTGTCAGTCTATTGTTGATCCATGTCTCAAAGTGTGTAGTGTATACTCAAAACAAAAATAAAAGGCTCAATTTTACTTAATTATTTAATTATTTTAAGTTAATTCAGTGACAAATCACTTAAAACACATTTTGTCATTACATTGAGGCCAAACTCATAATACTGTTATTTATAAAGTAGAACTATATAAATTATATTCAAAGTTTCTAAAAATCAAAAAAGTAGGACGTGAACATCACCTAATCTTTGATTATCTTTTGGGTCACTGATTCTGTTTCCTGTTTTTCAGAGAAGAAGCCAGGAACAGAAGAGCCCACCTGATATCATTGAATGCTGTATCCTGTTTTATTTTTAATTTAATTGTGAAATGACAATGAATGTAAAAACCATGTAATAATTCCATGTTAGTCTAAATATTAGTTGCCTTCATTTGAAGGCAATAAAACTAAGGGATGTGGAACATTTTTTCAGTGTGCAAAGTTAACATTCAGAGAGAGGCTGACCTTAAGCAGATGTTTCCAGTTTGAGCGACATAAGAAATTTGTCGGTGACTACATACTTTATTATGGAGGACAGATGGCTGACTTCAAACGCTCTGTGTAAGTACTGTGTGTCACAATCAAGCTTGACGATCAGTCATCTGCTGTCACTTCAACTAATGAGAATATGTGTAATCATAACAGATCATTGGATACTCATTTGTTTTCGTATATACTTAACCACAATTTATACTAGTAGTAATGTTATTGTAATAACTCTCCTTATCTGTGCACTTGCAATTAAAAGCTTATAAGATTATTTTTGTTTCCCTCAGAGCTAAAGACAAAACAGATCTGGATGTGCTGCGTGAGAATCATCGCTTCCTCTGGAGGGACGAGGACGAGGAAGACATGACATGGTGCTCATCACTCGTCAACGTTTCATGCAGGCTGCTTTAATATTTAGTTTCCTCTTGATTATTGTTCTGTTCTGTTTTGAAAATCTCTGCCTCTAAAGGAATTATAAATATGTCAAAACTCTGAATCTAGTAGCTTGTGTCTGGTGGCAAAAGTCAGTTATTTTCAGATGAGTTTGTGTTTTTCTATCTTACATCTGGACTTTTTCTGCTCCAGGGAAAAAGAACTTGCCAAGAAGTATTACGACAAGCTGTTTAAAGAGTACTGCATAACTGACCTCAGCAGATACAAGGAAAATAAGGTAGGATAAACAGATTCATTGTTTTATTGATTGATTTATTAGCCAGTTTAAACAGAAACGGAGTAGCAGAAGGTGTAGCTCACATCAAACAATGTGACACCACATGACGGTCAGTGACTATTTTGAATATAGCAACTTTGAACATGTGAAGTTATCACATCAGAAGCCAGTTTCAGACAAGAAAGTATTGGGTGTTGTAGCTTTTATATGTCGTTGCTGTGTCATTATGAGGCTGAGCGAGTGTTGTAGCAATATTTAGTTACACTAATAACAGTATGACATATTTCAAATAATTACAGTATCTATCTATTTAATTTCCTCTTGATAAAGTATACAGCGTTGAGTAATGGGAAAAGAAAACACTGCATGTTCTTGTATCAGTTAAGGACTATTATTATGAATCCCCTTGTAAAAACAAAACTGTTGCTGCGGCAGAGAAAAAAAAGATGAAGTGAAGCACAAGTTGTCATAAGGCGAAAATTACCACACCTACAAAATGAAGTGAAAGAAAATAATACAGTGACTATAGACACCTCAGCCATCCTAGCCACCACTGCTAGGACTTGGCAGGATGATCCATTTTTTGCACTGTGCTCCAAAATCACACTAATTGGCCCAGTGGTGGCACCATGAGTTAAGGTTAAAACTCAGACACTAATATCCACCACCACTGGTCTATTTAAGATACAAGTCGGGGGTATGATGCGTTTTGGCACTGTGCTCTGTCTCCAGTGACCACAGGGCCATCTCAAATAACTTTATGTCAAATCCAAGGGCAGTATGCTTATGGCTCCATAGCTGCACTATTTGGTCTGATGGTGTTATACTTTCAAACTCATGCGATATATCTCAGGCTGTGATACTGACGTACATATGACAGTTGTCATAGGTACATGATACATAACACCCAGACTGACCCTTAATTATTAGAGGCACTATAGTTGAAATGAAAAGAGTAAACAGCCACCAGACAAACAGGCACCATAAGTCCAGTTGACTCAAAAATTTAAAATGAATCCAGTGTTGCTCATTAATTATTCTGATTTGCCTAATGATTGCAAATGCAGTGGTGAGTTGCATCAGTCCCACAAGTGTAGTCGCATTTTGATCAGTAGTGTCGGGCAAATGAGGTGTGACAGCACATACAGATGAATCCACAGACAGAAAATGTGCTAGACAGACGCCGGCTAACATATTAATGACGAGCTTAAACGACGACTGCACCATCTGTGATGCTTCCTGTTCACTGATGCTTCATTCCAGCCACTGAAGATACTGTAAACATGCAAATGATATTACATATAGTAAGGCGTAAATATGTATGCAAAGTGGGAATACACAATATTCTCACGAAGGTTTGTGTTTCAGCTGTTCACACCTTCTGAAGAGCTTTTACAATTGCCAAATTGAATTTTGTTTGTATAATTTTATTTTTGGTGGAGTGGTCAGGCTGTTGCAACAGGACTCACACCCTGAAACATTGAATTCTTCCACTGAAACAAATACAATTGAAAGCTAATGACAATTCAAAGACAAGGTTTAGAATGAGCTGTGGTAGGATTTCTTAAATTAAGCATTATATGCTTTATTTTAGGGAAAAGAAATGTAATTTGTGCTGTGTGTCTGGCTGTTTCATTGCAAATGATTTTGCTGATTTACATCTTGTTAAATATGTGCCCAACAGTTTGGATTTCGTTGGCGGACTGAGAATGAAGTTGTCTCTGGCAAAGGTATGGCATGGTCAAAAGTTAATTTAAATTTTGAGTTTATACATTTCTACATGTTTTTATATTTTTGCATGTGCTGCTTTCTCAAAACACTGTGCAGGATAATACTGATGTTCTGTGACCTTAATGAGAGAAAGTGAAACCATTTTTCTTAATTAACGAATCACCTTCACTTCGTTATTAACAGGTGTTTAGATTGTAATGTGTTCACACTAGAAAAGTGAGAAAATGAAGCATACTCAGACCAGACAGAATGCATACTAAATTTGGCTGTGCTGTTGATGTGTACTATTCTCTTACAATGCAATGCACAGAGAAAATGAGGCAGATGTTCACAGCTGGAAAAAAACAAAGCAACAAATTGTAGATGGTGGTAAAAGATCTTGGAAAACAAAAATAAGTAATCAGCTTTAGGAAAGACATTTTTCTTACTGTTTGTGATGTTTGATGGACATCTGATGTTACAATCTATTTGGGACAGATAAGATTTCTCATCATGCCCACAAAACAGTTCACAACTTTTTCCACTAGATGGCGACAGCGATAAAGACAAATAGCAGCAGGTAACATACTGTAGATACTTCTGTCCTCATGTAAGACTGTTTTACAGATATGCATGTTTCACTTTGCTTTGACTTTCCGGAATATCAGAAAACCTTTCAAATATTTGATTCAGGTGAATTTTCTTTTTTTTCTTTTTCTTATTTACTTATTTTGGTTCCCTGTTTATGTCTTACACCCAAAGAAAAACCTCATTCTACCTCCACACTTGTGATGCATACTAAACTTAGGTGTGCTGTTGATACATTCTACTTCTTAATACAATTTGTCCACACTTCGATGACAACTGTGTATTAATGGTTCATGATGAGTGCAACACCTCCTCCCTGTCTGCTGCTCCTTTGTGTGACAGTGACATATATTTATAGGAAAGGCTATACCAGCAACACACAGAGGGTAAACTTACCTTGATGGCTCATTGATATGCCTAGAGCCACATACACACACACTCACTCACACACTTTACATTTGAATAATTTGTTCATGTTTACATCAATACAGCCTCACAAACTGACCCAGTGTGTCCTAGAAAGCTGACTAAGCCAATATATTGTTCCAGATTAAGACGGTGTAATCCTGGTCTCTGACAGTTCACCACCCTGTCGCAATACTCTACAGGAAGTGGGATTAGAGCAGGCACTTCACTTGAGCTGTCACTTCTGTGATTTGTGTACATTGATGATTTGCAGAGAAATACCTCTTAAACCACTATTTAGAGCAGGAGACACTAAACACTCAAGTGAAATCAATACTAATCTAATGCTGTAAGGTGGAGCCTATGTCCTCAGTCAGAGGTCGTTTAAAGTGTTTGTGGTTAAAATCAAAGGTGGAATACGTCTTTATGACTTAAGTTTGATTTGATTTGAAGGCTGATGAAGAGTATCACTTGATTGCATCTGCACAAACTGTAGATGAATCATCGCCTAGATATCTTGTTTTATTGTTCAGGTAGTTACACCTACACTACGTGTTGTTATTCCAGGCTCAGGTGTAGTGCCAGTCAGATGGCCAAGCTTGACCTCTGCTCGCAGATAGAGTAGATAAGACCAAACTTTTCCCAATTAAACAGATCCTACAGCTCCTTTTAAAGGAGCACGGCACTTCCACTCTGCCATAGGCACCTTTTTGGAAATCATCCTCTTAGCGTCCCCTTGCTCTCTGTGCACTTCAGGTCATGTTGGTATTAGGTAATGCTGACTACTCTTCATTCAATCACTTGGATTACTAAGAGCACTGACCTTTCTTTTCATGGCCCCAGTGTGATATGGGATGTAGGAGCGTGCAGTGCCAAAAGGTTGGAATATTTTTCCTTTGAAAATATTAAGGGGGAAGAGAAAGGGAAAGATTCTATTCTTGAATCAAGCACACAAGAGCAGGATCACATGTTATCCTTTCCTGGGAGTCCAAGGGTTTCTTACATCTTACAGAATTTTTCATGCTCATCCTCATCCCTTTTGTCTAGTCTCTGAAAGATTCGCATGAATAATTCCAGTCATGTGTGAGGGAAGGAGAAAGCCTGAAAGACCTCCTGTAAACAGACCTTAAACGTGCCTGTTGGAGTTTTTTTGTAAACAAACAAAATTTATGTTTAAATTCAATGTTTCTCATGTGTAACAAACATGTGAAATATATTTGATTCCTCATAAAACATTTACAAAGATGATTTTTTTTTGGATATTGTCGATCCTTCATCATTGTTGTATCCATTTGGTAAGGTCAGTGTTCTACCTTACCTTCATCTGTGCCTTCCAGTGCTTCTTTGCATGTTACTGCCATCAGCTGTCGAGCAGTGGAACAGTGTGAAACAGTTGGCACGAATATCAATGCTCTAGTCCGTGTGCATATGTGTCCTTGTGTGTGCATGTACGATAGTAACAAATCAGGGACTCGCGTGTAAAAACATTGCTGCGTGCACTGCTCACATTACACATCGGCAACATAAAGCTATGATTTTGCCATATATCATCTTTGCTTCTCATACAATGTCAGTATGTGAGGCAGGCGGTTTGTAATAAGAGAAATCCATCATTGAATGAGTATATTGAATTGGTAAAATTAGTTTTTAGTCTTTTACGCTGGAGCAGATGTACGTATGTGATGAAAGGCATGCGGCCACTTCATTCCAAGTCATGTTTTTTTTTGCTGTGGTTTTCCCGTCTGGTATAAATTGAGCTTTAGTCTTGCTGTCAGGAGGAGGTCAAAGACCAAAGGTAGTTGAGGCCAGTCTTATTTTTGGTGGGCCCCCTGTCAAAGTAAATGGAGTATCAAAGGTCTTAGCTTATGTAACTTTCCTGTCTTTAAAAAACGCTCACCACACGCTCGCTTACAGTGGAGGAATCAGGTTTGACCCACCTCTGTGTAACTTACACTGTTAGCTGGGGTGTGAGGCCACTCTAAGCCGTCACTGAGACATAATAGTTCTCGCATTCTGACCTTAGAGTTTTATATTTTTTGTGTTGTTATTTGTTTTTTGGATTTCAGTTTGTGACAGAATTTTTATTCTTATTCCAACTTGCCTGAGTTTCTAACCCTCTGATTCCACCTCTACTCCATCCTCAGACTTATTTTTCAGCTTATTATACAGCATGTGGTCCACTAACATGATTGAATTGGAATATTGTCACATCCTGGCAGTTTCCCTTAATTTTACGTTTTTAAATAAAATGAAAGTGGCAGGCCAATTTAAAGGTGAGAACATTTCATTTGCTTTAAATAGTTGCTTTAGTGTAGCCTCAGTTCCAACAAAGGCAGAGTTTGTACTGAATATCCAGCTGGGCTCTGTTTTTCCAGACAAAATCCTTCAGCTCCAAAGAAGTGTGAATGTATTTTAAGTGTTAGAAGTGATAGCTCATTAGTTCACAGCCTGCAAAGCTTTCAGAGTTGCCCAGTGTAACAATGGAAGTGCAAACGTCTCTTTTCTTATTGTTTTAATGTGTTTATCTGTGTGTGTGTCGCAGGGTATTGCACATTAATACTAAGAAATATGAAATATGAATATTTCTCAGTGGTATGTTAAGGGATAGACAGATGCAAAGCAGGTCTTTGGACACATTCTGTAAAAAATATCATCTCAGTGGGATATAATGCTCCTTAGGCTACTTGCTGTGAGGTAAATAAAAGTTCCAAAATAAAACGAGTGTTGAACTTCAGGTCAGCAAACTGGACTGCTTGTCAATGTGAAAGACAGGCATAAAAAGGCTAACTCTGATCCAGAGTCAGAGGTGGGACTGTGTGGACAGAGAAGCAGCCTTTTGGTTGCCAGTTACATTCCCAATATTTGAAAAATCTGCCTGGGGCAGTGAATGTTTATCATTTCCCACAGGCGGAGAATTTATTAAAGTTGGTCGACCCCTACAATGGGCGGGGAGAAGGGGGTGGTGAGTATCAAGAATTGGCTGCAAAGCAGCACTGAATTCTCCAGCTCAATAACTATTGCACATGAATGCAGCCTTCAGACAGACTTTTCAATCAGTCGGCACTTTAAGGATAAAAAAATATCGTTTTGGGTGGGAGCGGATCTATTTGTTTGGGCCTCCTAGGATAAATGTATAAGGCGAGCAATGATCACTCTTCATTCACATGAATTAGTCTCCATTTAACTTTAAGCAGAGCCTGAACATCCCACACACACGTTACTCACTAGCCTGCAGTTTTAGTTGATGAGTATAGAGAGCACCTTTTGTGATAGGAATGTGTAAAGTTTTACAGTGACAGCTGTTCTCCAAAGCCATGCCATTGAAGGAATAGTTCAACAAAAACCTTAGAGGAGCAGGTAGGCAGATTTTGTTACCTTCAGACAGAGACAGGCTAACTGGCTTCCCTCCTGTTGCGTCATATTGTTCTTAACACACAGACATGAAAGTGGCATTGATCCTCTCATCCAACTCTCTGCCAGAAAGCAAATAAGCATATTTCCCTAAACTTTCAAACATTCCTTTAAATAGGTTTGCCTTTTCAACTGGTCTCATGTATCAGAAATATTTCCACAAACTGGAAATGTTAGGCCTAATAGCAAAAGCTTAGGCAGAATACTCCATGAACTTTAATTACCCTGTCAAATTATAATATTTTCTCAAAGTCAGGCCTAGTTTCGTAATAATGTCTTCTTTGTGAACACTTATTCAAGAGTGAATAAAAAGTGAAAGAGCACAGGCTCAGGTCACTGCCCCAACTTCATCCATTGAATGTTAATCATGCAGCCATCTGTCCTGTGGTGTATCCATCTTGATCTCAGGCTGCTGACTGGTGGCATTAGTAACCATTGACGTAGGAGGACAGGAGTTCCCTCTCTTAATGGGTTTACTCAGCTGACCTGGTGCCAACCCTTTACATGGCACACGTGAGGCTCACCTGATGTGTGAGGATACCCAGTGCTTGTCAACAAAACACAGTGGCGGCCCTTTTGTTTTTGTTTTTTATTGCAAAGACATTCAACAGAGACCCATAGAAAAGCTTTTGTGTAAAACTTATTTTGTAAAGCAGGGACGTTGTTGTGTGTGTGGCCCTATTTTAAAAATCCACCTTCTGAACGCAGCGACTAAAGTTGTGCTTATTACCCTTTGTGTGGGAAATTGTGGAGCCTGGGGGCAGAAAATCAGAAATAAGCGAAGAATTGTTTCCTGACCTTGATTGTATTTAGTTTTTGACATTTATTTCATCAAAGAAGTTGCCTAGAAACAGATTTCCATTGACTCCGCTCTGTCACTGTTGTGGTTATGAGTAGCTGGAGGGTCAGACACATTCACACTCTCTGTGTTGTAACCTTCAAATATATCACATTCTTTTATATTTGACACTGACTGTTTCTCTGCAGCAGCAAAGGGATTCAGTACCTTTTTCAAGGGGGCTCAGTTTTGTGTAGGCAAAACACAGGTTTAGCTGCTTTCTTTACAGATAAAAGCTGTTGTGTGTAGACAGAGCGTTATGTGATTGATTTTTTTTTTTTTTTTCGTGCGTGATGTAGACAATTAAGATACCACGGGTGAATTCCAGTGCGATTGGCATTGACGTCACTGATGATAGTGATGTCTCTAAGCATCAGTCACTGCTCATGGCGTCATGTTGGCACAGAGTTGAGAAGATGGACCTGCCCCAAGTCACTCCCATATAGTGTCAGAAAAGACCAGACGTCAAGGATTTAAAGGGATATACTACAATTTTCAGTTTCCCTTTACTGATGATGTTTTAAGTTTTAAGTCTTTTTAAATGTAGTTAGGTGAACATATACAAAAAAAAAAAAAAAAAAACTTCATTTGAAGTTAGCAATTTAAGTAATCAAATTGTTGCTGTTTTTCTATGATAAGGAACTGGTTGATTCATTAATGAATATAATATTTAGCAACACTAGTACTGTAGCCCCAGGTATGGCAATGACAGTCAGTCAATCAGTCTACTACTTTGGTCCCAATTGGAATATCTCAACAGCTATTGGATGGGATGCCATTCATGGTCTTTTCAATTTGGTGAAAATATTTGGAGACGTGAACTTGTGGTGCCATTAAGCTGAAAAAAATTCTGTTTGCGTTGTTTTACTGTAGTATCATTCAGGAAAGCAGCCGTAGACTTGGAATCCGACAAACACAACAATGTTTGTCTTACATGAACAGGTAGGGTATTTAGAAATAGAAGTTAAATCAAAATATTACCTGTGTGATGTCTTATTGTCCAGGAAAATAAATACAAATACGGCTCAGTATTCTACTTTAGAGCTACACTGATTGTTCTTTAATTTCAACCATAAAGTCATATCATTTCTGGTTTCTTTTACTTATTTGTATATAATAACAAGCTCACCCAAATAAACCCAAATAAAGATCCAGGACCGGAGCCAGAGGTCCACAAGTGTGTTTTTTAGCTGACGTCATGGGACTTAAATCTAATACAGCACGTGAAGAGAAAGTCTGCCTTATGGCCCTAGTGGCTCGAAGCCATGACGACCAACGTCACCTCACCTGAATTTGAGTCTTGATCTTAGGCAGGTGAGGGCAGGCATCCCTTTCCTCTAGCCCCTTTGCCAAGAATGGACTGCTCTGACGCACTTGCTCCCCCTGCTACAATCTGGAGGAACCCCACAGGCCAGATCAGTGCCACCTTAAGCTCCTCTGGGGATAATAGGCAGGCTGTGCAGCAGCTGGAGGGAGGCCTGAGGAGATGAGGCGAGGTGAAGAAAGGGAGATGAGACGGAGCAGTGGGATAAGGAGGAAGGGGTGTAGTGCAAGAGGGGTGTAGAGCAAAGAGCAAAAGGGGGGAGGGTGGTGAAGGAGAGCAGCAGGGTTTGGAGGCTGCCTGACAGAGTCTGAAGTGTTTGGAGATTTATAGTCTGAATTCCTCAATCGTGTAATAAAACATCTTTCTTTTTCAGTTACATCCTCTCATATCAACTCCGCCATGTTTTTTTTTAATTCTTTGCACACAAGAGTATTTGTAAATTCACTGTCAGGGCTCAGTGGCTTGCGTAATTTTCTACTTCTTACTTAATGTATTATCAACATGGAGTACATCTTTGTATGTGAAAAGTACATGTTCTCACTGGTCTTCCAGGTCAGTTCCAGTGTGGAAACAAACGCTGTGAGAAGCAGGAAGGCCTAAAAAGCTGGGAGGTGAATTTTGCCTACGTGGAACACAGTGAAAAGAGGAATGCATTGGTCAAACTCAGTAAGCAAAATGACAAATTATCTTCCCATTTTCTCTGGTTATGCTCTGTGTTTGTGTGTATGCATGTCAGCGATGTGTGTGGCTGTGGCCTGGTGGGGTTTCCCGTCTAAGACCCAGCTCATAATAATCCTCCTTCAGGTATCATACTGCAGAAAATCCTGTTAGAATAATTACTGTAATTGGAGGACCCACCAGTCATAGTCAGCTCAGTCAAGCAGGAAATGGCAGGCTCTTTTAACAAGTTAGTGCAACAGGTCACATCCCGACATGTTGTTTCTCCTCATTAATACAAAAAAAAAATGTTTCTCAACTTGCAGTAATCCTTAATCCAATGTTTTGACAGTAATGAAATATGATCTGGCAACCCTGCAGCATGGAGTTGGTAAGGTTCAGTGGATGGATAAGGATGATGTTGCAATGATATAATGAAGATAAATAAATGAATAACACATAAGTATTTAAATTTTAATCCATCTACAAGAGTGAAACAGGAGTTCCACAGGAGTTCCACAGGAGTTCCACAGGAGTTCCACAGGGTTCTTTCCCTGGCCCCCTATCTCTTTACATATTATTTTATTTGTGAATGGAGCAGGTTTCCAGATGTGTGCTGATCATACTGTTATATATGTTTCAGGTTGAACCATTTTTGTCAGTTTACATTCAGTTGTTGCTGCAGTTAGATTCTATAGCAGCATGAATTGAAACTAAAACTATGGTGTAACGCTTAACAGGAAGATAAAGACAATGTGCTTTTCATTCTGTGGTCTGTATATACAGTATATCTATGTACAATATCTGTCCATATAGAAATACTTAAAAGAAACACAAATACTGAGTAAACTAATGCTTGGACCTAATTCTGCTTTTGCAGGCTTTGTAAAAGCTTTATGAGGAAAGAAATGTATTCAACACATTTGTTAGGCCCCAAGGACACACACAATCTGTTTTGGTGAGAAACAATGAATGTAATCGTGACTAGGTATGTTTACAAGAAAACTTCCAAGGGGTACGTTTTGCAAAGGTCATTAACTGTAAATAAACGAGAAATGTTCGTTCCAGTGTATTTCATTCCCTAAATGCTGCACAGAAGTGGTTGAATTACAGCGACTTACACTGACTGCAGCTGTAGCTTAAGCTTCATGTCCCTTTTCACCAACATTACAATTAAGCTGTTATAGAAAGTGCAAGATTTAACCCTAATAATGTCTGTAATAATAATAATGATGATAATGATGATAACAATGAAACTGTTTGTAATGGTAATGATGATTCCATGTTGTCTCTGTTCTAGGACTCTGCCCTGAATGTTCTTTCAAACTCAACTACCATCACAAGTAAGCTGACCTACCTCTTACTCTTGATGCATTTCTGCATTAAAAATGTAGGTCGTCTTTCCCACGATGAGTGATTTCAAAGATTGTAGAAAAGTGTGCACTCGGAGGCATCATGTTTTCAGGTTGTCCGTCCTTCCGTCCGATTCTTGTTAACGCAATATTTCAGGAACACCTTGATGAAATTTCTTAAAATTTGGCTCAAACTTGGACTCAAGGTTGACCTGATTAGATTTTGGTGGTCAAAGGTCAAAGTCACTGTGACCTCACAAACACCACAAAATGTTTTGCTTAATTCAACTCAATTCATACGCTTATTATGTCAAAATGATTGGGTGATTGGGTTCCACATTGTATTTCAAGAAGTGGCCGCTTTACATTCTGAATACATTTTGGTCAACTTGTGGTTCTCCTTGTAGGAGGAAAGAGGTAAAAGCAAAGGCAAAGACTAAAAGTTTATCGGAGGAGAGTGAGGAACCACCACACAAGAAGAAGAGGAAGAGATCGTCTTCACATTCCAAGAAGCACAAACACAAGAGACGCAGAGGTAAGATTCCTCTCAAACTGTCCCATTAATTACGGCAGTAATCTCATCAGATGGTAACAGCCTGTGGGAGCAGCCTTGTTTATGTTTTGTGCTTGGAAATGATATCGTTCCCATTTCTCTCTTGTGTTCGACATTATTATTTTGTCCCATTCTATTAAAACATATCTTATTTTACAACTCTCTCTGTTTCTCTACAGATCGCTCCACCTCCTCCAGCAGCTCAGAGGAGTTGCTGAACTCGGACAAAGGTAATGTTCATAACTCTCTCTCTCACACACACACGTGCACATGTGCACACAGACACACACACACACACACACACACACACACACACACACACACACACACACACACACACACACACACACACACAGAGGGACCTCCCCCATTTCAAAATACACATACATTGCACAGTTTATGATCTACTCTCCTGGGCCTCTAGGCCATGACACTCCTCCGAAATGTCTGGAGTGAAAACAGCCTTGACAGTCCTTTCTGGAAACACATCCATTAGCTCTGTATTTAGCTCTGTCTGCTTTTTCTCAGCTCTGTCTCTCACCATTCCTCTTGACTTTTTTTCTTTTTTCCTTGTCACTTTGCCCTTCACTGTGAGCAAAACGAAATGATGTATGTCTTTGCCCTCTTGTGTCCCTGTTCTGTTTATTCCAGGATCTGGATGGATGGATGGATGGATGGGTGGGTGGGTGGATGGTTGTGTGCGGGAGTGGATGGATGGGTGGGAGAAGATGTGCACAGACACAGAGGTTATGTCACTGAGTTCAACATGCATTGGAATACAGACACAAAAACACATATTTGAAGCAGTTGAAGTAATTTGTGAGCGATGCGTTCAGGGAGAGTTAGGGACTTTATGGTAATGGAGGTACTTCATCTCCTGGAAACTGAGGGCTACTTTATATTAGAGCCACATCTAGGGCTGCTGGCAAAGCTAACCTATAATTTTCATTTTGCACAATGTTATCTGGTTTGGAAGTGACTGGATTAAACTGTTAAAAATATGCTAATGGCCTCCTCTTGACGCTCAACCTCTGGCCCGCACTGCATTGTGTATGTACCCTGTTGCCTTCATTTCCCAATCCATTTCTCCATCCAGAACAGTGCACTCAAGAAACTACACATAGAAGCTTTATCAAAAGACCTAGAATTCCCCTGCTGAAATACCACTAGCCCCCAGATTTTCTTTTTGACAGTTTGAAGAATTTTGATTTAAAAAGCTATGTAGGAATGGGGACCTTTTGAGGACAATATAAACTTAAATAATAAATGCTTTTAAAGAAGAGCCACAAGGTAAGACTGGCTCCTGGATGTCTGTGGCCCCAGGTAAAGGTGCCTACTTTACTCGGTTTTGTCGCTGTTCTGGAAACATTAAATTTGTCCACTTCAAACTACCCACTGAAACTTCTTTTTGAATTTGTTCGTGCAAAGAAATGCAGAATCATGCTGCTAGATTTATAGTCTGAACGTTCACTGATTGGTCAAGCACAACTTCAACAAAACAACTTCCTGCTGTGTGACGTTTCTACCCTGACATCAGTAACTGTTGAACTACTGTTATTGTTAGTTATTCCCTCCTGGAAGTGTGACTGACAGCTCTCTGAAACTCTCCTGCTAGACTCTGAAGCTGAGGATGGGCCAGAGGGCCAATCAGAAGCCGACCATTGGCGAGGACCCGCCCCAGCGGTGGAGGAAAAGTCAAGGTGAGATTAAACGCTAATGTTCATATTAAATCACACCCAGTAAGCTGCAGTAAAACCATTCCAGGCAGTCTTTACCAATTAGCCTACATAGGGTACTGATCCGTACATAGCACAGTATGTAGACCACTTAGATACCCCACACAAAGCTGTCATGAACAGTCAGGGAAGTCACTAAACCTTTAACCTGATAATGTCACACTCACACACTCCTGACATTTAGATTTCTGCTCTCAGATATTACTGCAAAGGTCAAAAGTAAGAGTCGGTGTGTGTTCAAGCACATCTACTAAATGAGCAACACTCTTGACCTCAAGACAAAACACAGTCAATAATATGATGGTAGTGATTCTGATCAATTGCACTGGACACAAATTACTTTAGAATGAGTCAAGTTATATAATTTATATAATGATAATTGTGTTTGTATTGAATTTCATGCTTTGTTTGTTCTACGCACAAAACATGATCATCATAGACAATTTAAATGCTCCACATTCAGAGATACTCCTGTGTTAACACTTGCCGTCGATGGCAGGTAAATTAGGTGCTTGTTTGTTTGTATTCCGTATCGATAAAAGCAGAGTGCTAACACAGTGAGAGTTGGGCCACCCAAAGAATGCACCTAACAGTCTGTGTCAACACTGTGCATGGCAGGAACTAACATTTCTGTGATTTTGTTTATCTGTTTAGGGAGGAGGAGTTTGATGAGTACTTTGAAGATATGTTTCTTTGACTCTGCCGGTATCAGTGGAAACCCTGCTGTGACTGCGCTTCCTTTTGCGCACCACTGACATTAAGCCTGTAGTTTTGTCTGACTGTATGTTTCATTACTGTTACAGAAATAAACACAATGTTTAGCCTGTACCTGTCAATGTCTTTGATTTACTCGTCTGTCCCCACCACAATCTCTGTGGAAAATGAATGAAAATAGTTGTAATCATCCCAGCAGCATAGCTGTAGGGATGGCAGTGTTTGTCTGAAATTAGGTACAGACATTGAACTTCCTCCAGGATGAATTATAATTACTTTAGCGTTGTCGTAACTTTTCATCCAGTGGGTTAAAATTTCTATTTGTCCAACACTTTGGTTAATGACGAATATTTGATTTCATTATTTGAATTAATTTGCAAATAGTAGATGCTAACATGCTGATGGTGCAATGGTTAACATGTACCTGCTAAACATCAGCATGTTAGTATTGTCATTGTGAGCATGTTAGCATGCTTATGTTAGCATTTAGCTCAAAAAACAAGTGTGGTCTCACACAGCCATTAGCGTTGCTGTAGACCCTTGTTTTAGTAAGTTACAATTATCTAAATGTATATTTATGTTATATGTTGTTATATGTTGAATCTGTATCCACATCTAGTGGATACATTTTCCACAGTAGTACGGTTTCTTGCATGTGTAAAATTTCAATGAAATAGTAGTCAGTAGCAGTCTGCTCTGACTGACATACAACAAGGATTAGCTCGAGATGTCCCTCTGGCCAAGGGCAGATTGAGGCGCTACCTTAACTTCAATTTGCAGAGCAGGAAACTGGGAGATTATAGACCTTGGCTTAAATAAAGACAATTACTGTACTTCTTACTGCTCTGTCTGTCTCGCTTGAACTTTCTTCACTGCTTTCTCAGGAGAAGTCATTTACTCTGTGATTGATGGCAATGTAAACTAGCAGGTGGTTAAGTGCAATAAAAATATGGTCCATTGAGCAGTAACAGTTTGTTGTTTTCCAGTGAAGGTGGAATATGATTTTACCAATATCCTGGGAGGAATTTTTAAATCTCAAATAACAACAACTTTTTAAAATTTAAGAGGGATAGAAAACTCACAGAAAAATGAGTAGATTTGTGTTTGATATGGCTTTTCAACAAAATAAGTAGAAAATTAAATCTTTCTCTGTCCTTGACAAATCCAGAATCTATAAATATGTACAAATGCAAATAGATTTCTCTGCTGGACACGACATAGCTCCTACTTTACTGAAAAGCCCGTAGGAGCTATGGAATATGTATGGAAGCAATTTTCAAATTCCCACATCACACTTAAATGTAAGTTGCCTGTTTGACTACGATTGGCTTTCAAACTGTACCCTCAGCAGATCAATGTGAAAACAGATTTTGAAACTCTGCACATACTGTACATCATTCTGCAGAAAGAAGGTCAAACATTCAAGTGAACTAGCAATAAGCAAACACATTTTTGTGTGTGGAGCGGGTCTTTAAATTTAACATGGAAATTTTAAAGCAGGGCCCTTTGAAGAGAAGTGGGCGGCTCTGCACCCACTGACTCCTGAAGAGTCTGGGGAATGAAAGGTCATGTTGACGAGCTCAAGTGTCCCACAAAATGATAGATTACAGGGCTTCTTCTTTCTTTCCTCATGCCAAATATTCCATCTTCTCAGGGGAGGTCTCAGTAGCATCCTGCACTCAAACCACACACATACAGGGGTGCACTGCTGCTCTTAAATTTCATACATGTTCTATGGTTTATTGTATTCAAAATTGCTGTATTCTTGTTAAAATTAATACATAACAAAACACAACCTTAAGTTTTGTGCATGCCGAAACTGCAGCCGGCAGGACACAGGATGTTGAACATAGCCAGACAACACTGTATCGGGCAGAGATCAGAACCAATCCACTGATCCTCTTTCCTCCGAGGCTCATCCAGCTTTGGAGCCTCTAAGATCCCTGCACGATATGTGACTAAGAACAAGCGCTGTTGCAGCTAAGCCCAAGGTTGCTTAAGTTCCTTTTCTGTCTCTGTCTAACCTTCAAGTGCACGAGTGCGAATGAGAGATAAAGTGTCCCCCCCATTGTGCATGGCATGTGCTATACACCTTCCATATTGAGAAAAAGCAATTCTCTCTGTTCTTACACTTCCATTATATCCTTTATTTGCTTACACATATTACATCACACATACATACAGTAGAGGTCATTTCATACATCAAATGATAAGATTTCTAGTGTCTGAGAGACAGTTGATGGGATACGTAGAAAGTATACAGTGCATCATTTGGTACAAAGGATCACAGAGGATCCTTGAAGGAACCGGCTTTAGCTCAAGTGACAGCTCCTCACTTCACCTCAAGCAGCAGAAAAGGAGTTTCCAGGTAGTCCCAAAGCCATTCTGATAGGATTAAGTGCCTTTGATTGATGCCTCATTGATTAGAGGAGATGACATTGTGTAACAGGCATTTGAGAGACACAGCTTGTCGTTGCTAAAAGTGTTTCAGAAAGTGCACGGGAGGTGGGGGGTTGGGGGGTGGGTGTACTGTCAATCTACATGCATGACTAGCTCAAGTTCAATTCAAGTATACATGTTTGAAGAGGTTCTGTGGGGAGAGTCACCCTGAGATGCCGTGACTCATCTCACTGTTGCATCAGTGCTGAAAGAAGAAGCACGGGACTTTGGCCTGAACAATCATACAGTCAATGATGCTGCAGCATCATTTTTTAAATACATTTATAAACATGAGTCATCTGCACATTCATATGATAAGGCTTGGTAGCCTGCTTTACCTCCTCTGTAAGAAGGGTATTTAAAGTCTAAAGCTGTGTGGATCTCAAATGCTGGCTGGCAATCAAATCAAATTCTATCAAATCTTCTTACAGGAGAGGTAGATCTACTGTTCCCTGTTTAACTGCGACTCCTGTCTCCTCTGAAGAAGCAAGGGTTGCTTTTACATCCTTAAAATAAGTTTTATGCTTCAGTTATTATTAAGTTTACACAATGTACATTTTACAATTGCTATGTTATAAACTATATACATGTGAAATCATGCACGTTTAAAAGAAATCTTTTGTGACTTGATATTGAATTGTAAGTTTGTTCTAAACATTGGTGTAAATATTATGTAAATTACCATTTTCAGTTATTTTTCCAGGTTGTTGGATACAAGTTAAACAGCTCACAGGTTGTTCATCAATGCTGACGATAAAGTTGCACAAATTCAAAACATATTCTTGATGCCTGAATGCGGTTTTAGTGTGCATTTGTTCACAGATTCAGAACACCATCTCTCAAAGCTGGCCTCGTCTCTAACTCACCATCCATGAGGACAGTTGAAGTACAAAATTCTCAGACAAAGAATCAAAAAAAATATATATATAGATAGATTGCATATTAAAACATACCCTTACATAACTCACCTGCGCCTTTGAGGTAAGAAAACATCAGCCCTTGTTGATGGAGTGTTAACAGATCCTTTAGATTGCAGTTTCCCTCTTTTTGTGTTCATGAAATCAATCATCTCATTCAATGTTATCCAAGCTACTTAAACTGTTAACCAAAAGCATAGTCCTAACCCACTTCCTCTGACCCCTGTAAGTATAAAGTTCTGTGCTTATTGTCCCTGCCTGCCCTCCCGCCTTCTGTGCATGGCCTGCCACTGCCAGAACAGCAGCAGCTAAGTGCATTGTGCGAACTACAGTACTCATATACTGTGTGGTGAGTGACTGCCAATAGGAATCCTGTGTGAAAATTATTGCTTTGGCATGGATACACACCCACATGCAGTACATGTAGTAGTCTATTCAAGCGATTCATACTTAAAAGGTTGTGCTTTAGCTCGACTTGGAATGTATGACTACAGCTAATGAGCTTCTCCAACCATGGTTTCAAACCATGCATGTCAGGAGGGTTTTGATTATTGCTATATTAAGGGGAACTACATGTTGTCCGTGTGTATATTGCTTTTCAATTGTTCATGGTTGTGTGTTGTACGAAGCAGAGGAAGGAGGAAGTTTCAAGTACATCGCACCTTCAGAGTCAAACAGCTTCTCTTGCAGTCAGAGTCCCATCATTACTTCTTGGTGATGTTTCTGACTCTCCGTGGAGAATGGTTAAACTTGCCTAATCTGGACTGGACTGTAGACCAGACCTGACTACACTAGACTGAAGTAGGCTAGACTGGACCAGGCCAGCTCAAACAAGGCTGGACTGGACTGCACAAGAGCGGACAGCACCTAACCAGTGAGAACTACGCTGATGTAGATCAGACCAGACCGAGCTAGCCTAGCAGAGTTCCAACTAGATGACTTGTCCAGAATTATAGGCTAGCATAGCCTAGACTAGTCCTAGTTAGACCGCAATCAGTCCAGATCCAAGCACTGGAGGAATTTAGCAGATGGTGCAGGTCTTTGACTTCCCTCCATCGCCTCCACCACCAGCTAGATAAACACACAGAAATAACAAAGATATATAAATACAGGATCACTCTCAACACTGATCTTTTATCAGACCATGAACTGGATCATAGTGTAGGTTTTCTTTACCTTTCTTGGCTTCCTCTTCTTCCAGTTTCTTCTTCTCATCCTCGATGGCCTTCATCTTTGCGTTGTACACCTCGGCCAGCTCGGCCCAGTGTGACCTGTTGTTGTTCAGACCATCGAACATGGGCGTGATCTCCTTGTGGAACCTGGAGAACTCCTGACAAATGGAGGGAAACACACTACATGTTAAGTATTTGTTATTCACAGAGGGAGAAGTCCACAGGGGATGCCTGACACATGTTCATTGTTATGCATGTTGCCTATGTGCGTGTTCTTCTCCACATACCATCCTGACAGCTAGCTAACATTCCTGCTGAGCTGGGTTCAACGGGTTCATCTCTATACATCCTGTTATCCAGCCTAAGATGGTTAAACCTACAACAACACCCCTGTAAAGCTTATAAAGAGACTGTATGAGACTTTGTGACACAGTCGCATCAAATCCTAAACTTATACAGCCAGCTTTAAAGATCAGTGTTCACAGCACAGTCAGAGCTCAGCATGACATTAAATATTGTCTTGAAAACATAAGTCACACTTTAAACTAAACTGAAGCCTTGGAGTAAGGTTAATA